TCTTTCCCTGTCCCTTCCTCATTAATTCCCATATCCAACTTAAACATCACTGTACATAGTGGGTTTCCCTGAGCCCTTGGATTAAATTGTAAAACATCTCGTTACCCACTATGATGACACTGATTATCTATGTTGCTTTTGCTTAATTGTCTGTTTTCTACTAAACTGTATGCTGTGAGTGTGGCCATGGCGTGCGGATATTTTGTTTACCTTTGTATCCAGCTTAGCTTGTACAGTGTTGTAACAGTAAGGGTTCAGATAGTGGGTGATTTATTTAGGCAAAGGGAGGGAGGAAGGTAGAAGGGAGGAAGACAAGAAAAAGGAAAGAGAAAGAGAGGAAGGAGAGGAAAGGTGTGGAAGGGAGGGATAAAAGAAGTTTGACATGTAAGGACAACAAAAATCCAAGAGGCGTTTTGAATGAGGTTAAAGGGGAAAAAACCAAGCAGTCAAAAGTATTCTATAATGCTTTCATTGGGGAGTTGGATTCATGGTAGTAATGTTATCTCGGGCTAAAAAGAAAGAAGAGTAGGTTTGGGTGGGAGCATAATGAGTTCAGTATGAACATCTGGTGCAGAAGTTCAGTTGACAGGAACAGAGGATCTTACACGGAGCTTAGAAAAGAAGTGTGAGGCATATGTGATGACGACTGAGGTCATGAGAGTAGCCAAAATTTCCCAGAGAGTGTGTGCAGAGCAAGGAGACAACTGAGGTCGGAGTTCTAGAGACCTTAACATTTAAAGATACACAGCACAAGAGTCTTCAGTGTCAGTTGGGACTTCACAACTCATCCTGCACTTATGGGATTTGTACATTCCTCACACTGTGCTGCTCAGGCGGACTTTGAAAAAGCATGGCTGATTCAATGACTTTGGGGGGTTGGAAGGAGGAAGAGCTCCCTTCTAGTAGCATTTCATGACTTCTTTCAGGAAATCCTTTGTATTTCTGATTTTATAATTGTATTTATGACATTTGCATTTTCTCTAGGACTTTTGCAGAGCTGAGATATTAACATAGTCATTTTACTCATCTGAATTTATTGATATTTAATTTTTACTGAAGTGTGCCATTTAAAGCTGGCATAGCTGTTGTAATTTATGTGGGAATGTGCAAATACATTTTTCCTTCCTTGTGCTTCTGTGCCAGCTTTGAAACTATTTTGGGCAAAATCCAGTTAGATACTGGAAGGATTCCTAGAAGGTGAAATAGTCCATTGTTCTTACTTTAGTGATTTTGTCAGTTGTTCAGGTCCGTAACCTTGAATGGTATGTAGGTAAAATAAATTGGATCATTTGCAAAACTTGTACAGATTTTGTAAGTCCATAACTTATCACAGATTTTGTTATTGAGTGTCCTTATTAACATAGTCATCATGTATATATAACCAAGAATTACACGCCTTTTCCAGTATTTTCCAAATTCCTTGTATTTATTCATTTATTTCATATTTATTGAATATATTCTTTTTTTAAAAGTGTATTTATTTCTTCCATGACACAGAGAGATAGTGCATCCCCAGCAGGATGTTGACACTGCTCTCTATGCCCGGTCTCAGCCAGCTCTGGATCGTGGGCATGCATGTGGATACTGTGTTCAGTGAGGTCGCCAGACATGAATCCAAAACCTTCCCATATGGGTCAGCCTTGCCCAGCACTGCATTTTACTGCTCTGCCACTGTCTAGCCCCAAATGCATTATTATGACAGGCAATGTATTTTGATAAGCAAAACAGGCCTAGTCCCTGCCCTCTCCTCCCTGCCACGGCACTCAATAAGTACTGATTCAGATCCTTTGAATTTCTATCTTTGGTGCTTATAGAATGCTTATTTTCACAAGATATTTGAATATGTGATTAAAAATACCAGTAATAATGCCCACTTCCTTATCGTGGTTCGCTGTTGCTTACATGCACCATATCTCACCCTGGAATGCTTTATTGTTTGTTTAGGGTGGATCCTAGAAATGGTGAAAGAGGGAACCAGCAGTTAGCGTAATGGCTATGTCGCTGGACTCCCACGTAGTCGACCGCGGTTCGTGTCCTGGACCCGGTGGCTTAAAACTCATGCCGGGCGCGTGTGCGTGCGTGCCCAAGATCCTGAGAGGAGAATGGAGGAGAAGGGATTGTGGCGTGACCATCCCCCCTGGGGGGTGATTTTTCGCTTTCTGTCTCTCTGTCTCTCTCTATCTGTCTGGTGAGCGCACGCGCCCTATAGCGAAAAACCTCTTAAAAAAAAAAAGAAAGAAATGGGGAAAGAGATCATTGAATGCCCAGATTAACTGCATTTATTTCATACTTAAAGAAATATACTACATAATGTAGGGGCTAAAAGCATGACTGTCAGAACTATTTAGACCTGGATTTGAGACCTAGCTCTGCTATGATTAGCTGTGTGACCATGTACCTGTTGCTTAACTTATCTGGGACTTGGTTTCTTCATTTATAAGGTTGAAATAAGTATGAAGTGTCTTGTAGGACTGTTGTGATGACTAAATGAAATAACACGTGAAAATTCTGAACATAGAGCTTAGCATAAAATAAGAATCAGTTATTATTGCTGTAACGTATGATAAAGAACTCAGCTTTTCAGCCACCTTTATTCTTCCTGTACTACCTACTTATTAAAAGATGTACAGCCCATGAATTGTGTTCCACCTCTACGCGAAAATTTTAAAGCAGGGAAATAGCACCAGGGTGGATTCCGTTTTTAACAGTCTGTCCTCTATGAAAGGACAGCACCTCTCAGCCTCTGTAAGTCGCAAGAAAATAAAGGTATTTCTTTTTTTAAGAAAAAAATAATTTTTAAATTTAATTAAATTAATTGATTTATTTCAGTTTGACCAGAGAGGAACGGAGCAAGAGAGTGAGAGAGATGGAAAGTGAGAAAGCAAGCCACTAGGTTCAGGACTCGAACAATAGTTGGCTATGTGGGAGTCCAGTGCCCTTAACCACCATGCCACCTGCTGGCCCCAAAAATAAAAGTATTCCTAACGAGTGCCTACAGTGAGTTTTATTAATATGCCACAGTTATAATTTTCGGTTTCTAGGACTTTAAAGGACTAGGAAGTGGGATAAAAGGGAAAGAAGTGGATGATAGAAAAGAACAAGTATTATATTTTTATATTCCTGTAGCTGAATTCCAGACTTCTAAAGAATTGATTAGAAACACCATTGTTTTTATGCTTATTCAATCACCTTTGATGCTGTTCTTCAAATTGAAATAATTAGTGTTCTGTAGTAAGTCTAGGCTTTAGTCCCTATAATAGAAAAGTTGAAATATAGGAGGCTAATGTATGGATTTCTTTTTAGTAAGAATAGCTTAAAACTAGTAGGCTTAGAAGTAAATTTTTAAAGATACCTTTGTGTCATACGAGATGTACTATATATGTTTGCCAGTTTCGTTTTCATTAACAATAAATTAAAACAGTACAACATGAGGAAAGTGGGTTTGAGAAAGTAGGTTTGATTCTTTTGGTTTGGCATAAACTTAACCTCCAAGCAAAAACTTCTTCAATTTAATGCTGTTTGTGTAATTACAGGGTGTTGGAAAGAACAAGATAGTTGACAGATTTCTTCACCTGCTCAACAGACCCCGAGAATATATTCAACTACACAGGTAAGACTATTAGACCTACAACCTTTGAAAATCTGATTAAATTATTTTTCTCCTAAAAATACAAAAAAAAAATGCTTTCTTAAAGACCCATTTTATAAGCTAGTTTCATTTTTGTTCTTCTTGCTCTTACCTCTACTCTCTTCAAAATATAATAAAACCATGCAAAACTTATTTTTTAAAGTGACTAATCTTTTATAAACATGAATTAATAGATATTTTGTGGACAGAGAAGGATGAACATTACATTCTGTGAGTAGACCTCATCAACATAAAGGTTGTTAAGTCAGAAGAAAAATAAGTAGAATCTAAGCCCATTTTCTAACATGAAACTAAAAGAGCTCACTAGGAGAAACAATGAACTAAATGAATCTCAGGTATGAGATTAAGAACTCAGAATATCAAATAAGTATATTATTACTGTTTCCTTACCATCCTTAATCCTTTGTGAATTACTTAGTTTTGTGTGGTCAGAATGATGGTTCAAGAATAGCTTTTAATCAAATAAATTATCTCAACATGTATTGGTTTTAGTTTTATCAGCCAACTGGTTTCAGAAATTTTTAAATTAGATATAAGCAGTATATGGCACAGAAACAAAAAATGAGAGAAATAGATATATTGAGAAATACACCAAATACTAATCAACATAAACTAGCTTAAGTTATTATTGTTTTAATCCAAGAACATAAAGAAAAAAATAGTTTATCCATGGAGCGATGGAAAGAGAATTCATTGGATGGCATTACGAGGATTCTGGCTTGGGCTTTTTAATTTTGTTTTTGTCTGTTTGGCTGTTAGGTTTTTGCCATATGATGCTTGCACTCACTGTAAAGAGACAGAAGTTATAAATGAGAAATTATCCCCCAGCAGGGATACCCACATCTTTCTTCTCAAATCTCCTCTCCTGATTTGGGCATGCATGCACAGGCACTGGGCTTGATTTTCAGGCCTCTAGGTCCAGGGCTCAAACCGCAGTCAGCCATTGGGAGTCCAGCTCCTTGACCACCATGCTACCTGCTGGCCTCTGGCTTATTTTTTTTGGGATACCCACATCTTTCTTCTCAAATCTCCTCTCCTGATTTGGGCATGCATGCACAGGCACTGGGCTTGATTTTCAGGCCTCTAGGTCCAGGGCTCAAACCGCAGTCAGCCATTGGGAGTCCAGCTCCTTGACCACCATGCACCTGCTGGCCTCTGGCTTGTTTTTTTTGCTAAATAATAATGAGCTCCTGAGAGAGAGAGATGTCAAAGAATAAAGGGCACAGTTACTGGCTTAAAGGAGAAAGAAAAAAGAAACAAAGGAAAGGTGAGATATGACCAAAAATTCCCTTTTGAGGGGCCAGCAGGTGGTATGGTGGTTAAGGCATTGGACTACTACATGGCCCACCACAGTTCCAGTGCCTGGAAGGATGGCGTACTTTCTTGCTTTCCCTTTCTCGTTCTCTGTTCAAATGAAAAGAATAATAACAACAAATGGAGGTAAATAAATAAATAATTCTAAAAAAAATAAATTCCTTCTTGGGAATTATACCTCTGGCTGTGACAGAGTAATGATACCAGATTAGCTCTACCACAGCAAAGGACAAGAAAGTTACTCAAAATCCATAAACACTGGAGGGAAGAAAGCTGTCAGGAATCCGTGAGCTGAACAACTGCCAGAGTTCCTATATGATTTAGAGCCTTCATTAAAAAACAAAACAAAACAAAACAAAACAAAAACAACACCATATTCAGAAGATATACTATATTGTTTATGCTTTAGAGGTAGGACTTACCTACCCTGAAGTATAAACTACTATATACCAACCCTTAAAATGTTTGATAATAAGCCTTAAAAAAAGCATACTTGCTATTTAATATTAATTTGAAAGTTATTTCTCATTCAAAAATGTCTTTAAAAAATGACTGCTTGGGGAGGCAAGAAGAATGTCTTCAAAAGATCAGGGTGACTCAAAAGTAAATTAACTGCTTACCTGAACAAAGTTTAATGTTTAACTAAGAAAGACTCAGAAATTGAAACATTTAACAGTTTAGTATTCATATTGTCAACCACTCAATAGAAAATTATTAGATATTCAAAAAGCAAGAAAATCGGTCAATAGAAATAGACCCCAAAATGAGAAATGATGGAATTAGCAGATAAGGACCATAAAAGTTGTCATAAATATATTTGAACATTTCAAGAGGAAAAAAAATGAACATAATGGAAGAATTAGGAATCCTCAGTACAGAAAAGCAACCCTAAAAAAAGCAAGTTCATAGGCTGGCTCCCTGGCCTAGTGGTTAAAGGGACCAAGTCTCACCAGAACCGTGGCCAGCCAGCAGGGCTGCTTTCTCTTCCTCTCTCTGTCTCTCTCTAGTGAGTTTATGTACCCTCTAGCAATTTAAATTAAAAAACAAAACAAAACAGCTTCTGGAGAGTAATGATACCAGATTAGCTATTCACTAAAAAACTATTCAAAATTCATAAATTTAATAAAAGAAATTAAGTATAAATCTTAAGAGGGAGATTTTTCTTTTTTTTTTTTTTTTTTTTTTTTTTTTTTTTCCCAACTCCCCTTTTTTTTTTTTTTTTACCACATCTCACCTTCCTTTTGTCTCTTTCCTCTTTAAATGGAACCTCAAAAGAGGAGGGAAAAATGGAACAAAACAACGTTTGAAGAAATAATGGTGGGAAAATTCCCGAATTTGAAGAAAAGCTTAAAGTCACCAATCCACAAATCTCAATTGACCTCAAGCAGGATAAACAGAAAAACACAGCATGACACATTATAATCAAATTGCTGAAAACTAAGAAAAAAATCTTAGAACTGCTAGAGGAAAAAAAAAGAAATATTACATATAGAGAAACAATGAAAAAAAATGACAACTACTCATGAGAAATAAATATAAACCACAGTTCCATGAGATGGTTGTTTTCTATATGCTGAAAGAAAAGAAATTCAGTTTAGAATTAGGATATTTGGCAAAAGTATTCTTCAAAAATGAAGGCAGACAAAAGCTGGGAATATTTTTCATCAGCAGACTTGCATAATACAAGAAAAGAAAACTACAGGTATTTTCCTTGATCATGAATGGAAAATCTTTATTAAGTATTAAAAGTCAAATTCAACAATATGTAGAAAGAATACATCATAACTGAGCAGGTTTTACTCTAGTAGTACAAAGTTACATTTGAAGAATCAAGTAATGAAGTGATATAATCCACTCTCTTTCCAGAATAAAGAAAAATGACATATTCTTCTTAGTTGCTGCAGCAATAGAAAACATTTGACAAAATTCAATATTCATGATAAAAATACTACATAAGCTATGAATATCAGGAAACTTCTTCCCAACAAATAGCACCTATGAAGAAACTATAGCTAACTTCATATTTAATGGTAAAAAACTAAATGCTTCACTCCTGTGGTTGCAGTAGAGGCAAGGATATTAACTATTCACATTGTGCTGTGGTTGCTCACTAACGTAATTAAGCAAGAAAAGGTAATAAATGGCATACAAACTATTTATAGATTATATGATCACAAAGATAGAAAATCCTAAGCTATCTACAAAGAAAGTATCAGAACAAATAACTGAATTGAGCAGGATCATAGAATACAAAGTCAGTGCACAAAAATCAGTTGTATTCCCATACACCAGCAGTATACAGTGGAAAAATAATTTTTTTAAAGAGATTTTTGCTATAGGGCTCGTGCACCTGCCAGAGAGACAGAAAGTGAGAAATTACCCCCTCAAGGCGCCCCCCTACAAGCCTTCCCCCCCCATTCTCCTCCTGGGATTTTGGGCACACATGTATACATGCCCAGCATGAGTTTCAAGCCACAGGGTCTGAGACCCAAACTTCCATCAGCCATGTGGGAGTCCAGTGACGTAACCACTATGCCATCTGCTGGTCCCAGAAAATAATTTAAAAAATACTATTTATAATATTATAAAGAAAAAATGCAAGTAAATTTAACAAAGTTTGTGCAAAATTTTAATTTGCTAATATTAATAGTGTTAACACAATTACCAGACACTTATTTTTTGTGAGCTTGCTGATTGTTGTTTGAAATGAAACTTAAAGTTGCCTGTTTCATATGCTTGTGGTACTGAGTTCCTGACCCAATAGATCCTTCCCCTTATCTTTTTTTTTTTATAGTTTATTTTTTATTATAATAATTTTTTTCCCCATCACAACACACAAATGAATTTTCCATCCAAAATACACTGTTCATTGGCTCAATCAAGCATGTCACCATATATGTTCTCAGCAAATAGTTTCCCAATTCTTGTGTCCTGCATACCTTGCCTTTTGTTTTGCCATCCTAGATTCCCCATCCCCCTCCCTCTGTTATGACCCATCCTCCTCCCACATTGTCCCTGGCATCCACGATTGCCCTCCGTGCCTCCCCCCTCCCCAAATGATCTGTCAGTGAACTTAATTAGTCTAAATATATCCAATAGTTATCGCAGCTGACACATACCTATACATGAACTCAAGTCTGACTTTAGGCCTAAACCCCAGTGAGTAAAAAGAGCATACTATAAAGTAGAACCCAGCTGGGCCCATACCGCTCACTGCAGCCATCAAATATCCATTTTTTTTTTTTTAATGGTACGAATAGTTTTACCGTTTTTTCTTTTTGGTTATCTAACATTCATTCCCTGAGCATCATCACAGCGTACTAAATGTAATTTCCCATCTAGAATAGATTGCATAGTGACTTAATCAAGCATGTTATCATCAATAATATTCCATTTCTACTTTCATGCTTATGTATATATGTTTTTTTTCTCTTCCTCTTTTTTTTTTTTTTCTCTGTTTGTCCCTCTGCCCTTTCCCACTCTCCCACTACACTATCTCTGCTATATACAGTTGTCTTCCAGAAGAGTTATTGAAAAAGTGATACATACAAGTAAAGGGAGAGAGGCCACGAGTTCCAATTATCAGCTCATAAAGTTTTTGACAATAGGGAGCATAGATTCTATTCAGGGTTGGATTAAGGGAGGGT